TGGTGACTTGGCTTTGCCTGAGTTCTGTAGGGAAGCGGTGCAGTGAGGTGGTGTCCGCAGGGTCCACTCGGGCGGGCTCCTCCGTATTCTGACTTCTCTCACCTGTGCCTCTGCAGTGCTCTGGAAGTTCTCCTGGTCCAAGGCAGCCTGTGTGAGGGCCGCTGATGTCAAGTGCAGAGACCCTTGGGATTTCTGAGCCTTCCAACTTACACTGGAGAAGTCGGGGAGGGGGTGGAACTTAAGTCTGAATAATTGACTGCAGTTCCCTGATCAGGTCACTTACCTCTGTCTTAGGTTGACCTCAGATGGCTCATCTGGAGTCAACCATCGTGAGGACTGATGGCCGTGCACCCGCTGGCCAGCTCTGCTGACGTCCTTTGAGATGCCGAGGTCTATTTTTCTTAATAAGAGGAGATGGTATTTTTTAAAGACCTTTTAATACACATAATCTAAAGTTTATTATTTTAGACGTTTCAAGATGTGCAGTTAGTTCAGTGGCGTTGAGCACATTCACAATGGGACCTTCATTCCACTTTGTTTCTGTGAACTGAGGCAAATTTAACTCTGAGTTTCCTGTGTCTCTGCGCTTTGTTTGCATTTAGGGGCAGCAGTTGCTCTAGTGGTTGTGGGGATTAAAAGGCAGAGGGTTTAAAGCAATTTCCCCTCCTTCCGGGGCAGCACTCCCCGCCCTTTGCCCTCCGTCAGGGGCCTTTGCGGAAGGCGTGTGGCCTTGCCTCTGCTGCTCCCCGCAAACCAGGCCCCGCCTTCCCCTAGTGGGTGGGTCCTGGAGTTTGATGGTTGGTCCAGCTAGCACTTAGATAAGTGCCCAGGATTGGAGTGCAGGCCTGGAGCGGTGCTTCCTGCGGGGGGATGTGACCTGAGCAGGTTGCTAGGGGCGTGAAGCGCTTAGAGCCTCTGGAGCGGAAATCCGCCCATGTCAGCAGTGCCCCTGGCGGAGCGCTGAGGGTGGCCGCCTCGTTGAGGCACGGCCTAGAGCGTCGCAGCTTTCCTCTCCCAGCTTTCCGTGTCTCTCGGGTGGCGGGACATGACCACGAGGAGGCCCAGCTGATCACAGAATTACAGAAGTGCCATCGCCAGGGGGTCTCCGGAGTCACAGGGCTCTGGCCACCCTGCCGGACAGTCCTCGTGGTGGTCCCCTGTCCTTGTGGTTTGCTGTTGAGTGTCCCAGGAGGAATCCTAGCTAAGGTTTTCCCCTCCCTGGTGTTTATAGTATCTCTCAAAATTCAGGGACTTCCCTGGTGGTCCAGTGGCTGAGACTCTGAGCTCCCAATGTAGGGGGCCCGGGTTCGATCCCTGGTCGGGGAGCTGGATCCCACATGCCGCAACTAGGAGTTCGCATGCCGCAACTAACTAACTAAATAAATATTAAAAAAAAAAATTTAGACTACGCCTCAAGCTGTTTTCAAGTGCGAGTTCCCCTTGGCTCCACCAGCCAGCGTGGCCAGCAGATCCAGGCTGGAGTTATCGAATGGCTTTGTGCTCTGATCGTTTTGAGTTAACACTGCATCATGGGTGTCTTTTGTGTCATTAAATAAAGCTGCACATAGTTATTTGTTATGCCGTGTGGTATCCGTTACAGGACGTTGTGGTGATTCTGGTCTGGCCGACACGGCTAACTCTGTGTCCTCTTGACTTCACTTCGGCCTGGGTTTTCCCGGCTGGGGAACCTGGGGAAGGGGCTGGCTCACCGCTCACCGTCGTGTATCCACCCCTCGGTGTCCCCGTTTTCTGCGATTGAGCTGATGCTAAATTTAGCTGGTGGGCTAAATGGGATACAGGCTGTACGGCGCCCAGGCACGTGGACTCGGGGACAGACGGTAGCTGTTTGGAAAACAGGGTTCCGGGCAGGTGGTGTGGCCGCTCCGCCCAGCGCTCTCTCCCTCCTGCTCTCTGCCCACTGGGCTGGCGATGCGTGTGTGAGGAGGGGAGCCTGCTTTTCTCAGGCGTGGCGATCGTGACGTCATTGTTGCTCTGCCTCCCTCTGCCCTTGAAGTGGCCGGGAGGAACATTGGTCCTCTTCACTCTCGCAAACCTGCAGTGGGTCACATTCACGGGGGCTTCTCTCCTGGGAGCTGACACCTCCCTGCTGGATGAGTTCTGCTCCATGGGCTCCGAGACCCATGTAGGATTCGGTCACTTCTCAGCCTTGAGGGGTGACTTCCTGCAGTGGGGGGACCAGCTTTGGGCATTGCTGGTTTTCCCACTGTGTGTACACACAGGAGCCTTCTGCAAAGTGGAGGACATCTGAGGTCACCAGGCGGTTCAGAAGAGCTGCACTTGTGATGGAGAGGGTGGGAGCATCTCTCATGGGCGCTG